TGTCGTATGTGAATATTTCTTTTTTTCATCTATATTATTTGATATGGTATCGACATTGCTTAAGCACACGGTTCTTGATTAGATAAGGCTCGACTTCCTAGCCTGTAGATCAAGTACTTCCATCCCATATAAACAGATATTTTAAAACGTTAGCCTGTCGATAAGAATTACACTATCAGCTGCTCTTATCAAGATCTTCTAAACTATTCATAATCAAATAATACAAGGCCATAAATATGTATCTGGGTATGTTGAATAATTTCCGTTGTACCTGTGCAGGATATATGAATATGGATGAATATCATAGGACGAGAAAGTGGAGTAAAAATTAGAGCAAAGAGTAAAACAACTAGAAAAAAGAGGTCAGGTAAAATCCTATTGAAAAGTGATTAGTAAGTATTATAGAAGAAGAAGAAGAAGAAGAAGAAGAGGAAGTTGAATAAGAATAGAAAGTAAATTCCTTTTTTCTTTAGTGGAGAAGACAAGAAGACAAGGAGAATAAAAACATATGTATATATATACAGTATATGCATATATGCATGCGCACATACGTACTAATATACTCTTTACTGTATATTGATTATGCTTGTAATAAATTTAATTTACTCTTTTCCACCTTTTTTATGTTTTTATATTTCAAATAAAACTATTTATATCTAATCAGTTTGACCTAATTTCAACATTAATGCCATACTACTTTTTGCTTAAAAAAAGCACTACCTTAGTTTATAAAGAGAATTAAAGAATGGCCAAGTAATTGAGGACTAGTGTTTGCTGTCACGAATTGTTACTAAAAACTTCATTAATTGCATTTGATTTAAAGAATGGAGATTGCTTTATTTTTGCCATTAATTCCCAATTCTGTGTATCTCTCTCTCTCTGTCTCTCTCTCTCTCTCTCTCTCCATACCTTCGTTCATTTAGCAAAATTGTCACACTTTTACTTTCATCAGCTATTGAAAATTCTCTTCGTTTCATCTTCTCCTCCATTTGTTTAGCTATATAATTAATTTCCCTTGAATTTTCTTTTCAAAATGCCTATCGAATGATTTTTGCCAGATTTTCTCTTTCTAATTAATTAAATTAAACATTTTTATTTAACATTAGACGAACAAATAGTTACTTACCAAAGAAAAAGACAAACAAAGAATAATCAATGGTAATTGCTTATAGATTCAGCCTGTAAACACTCTATTCTCCTATATGTGGAAACAACCACATATACAAATATAGGCCTACGGCGATAGATTATTTCTAACCCTAAAAAATAAAAAAAGACTCTTCTTAAGAAGAAGGAGAACAAGAAGAAAAAAGAGCATTTGATTTGTAGGACATGTTCAGACTGGATTATAAATGTGTATATTATGGTATTAAAACTAGAGCAAAAAACTACAAGGGGTAGAAAAAAAAATACTGAAGAGGTGGGAGTAGAAAAGAGCGGAATAGTCGGTGAATTGGAATACAATACAAGATAAGAGGAGAAAGGAGAAAGTAAAAGAAGAGGAGTAGGAGTAGGAGGAGTAAGAGTGGGGGGAGGGGGGGGCGAAGAAGAAGTAGACCTGAAGGTAGAGTGTATTGATATTAAAGCAGAGGAAATAATGGTTATTATCGATTAATAAAAAAGAGGGGAAAAATAGGTGCATATTGAAAGAATGTATTTGCATGGACCAAGCGAGATGACTTGTCTAAATTGCTTCTCAAAACCGCTTGGGGTAACATAGCAACACGTAGCTAAGGGTAGCTTTTTTTTTCCTATCCCTCAAAATCCAAAGTATTTGACATTAACGGTGATATCGATCACGAAGCATTAGTTGAAAATTGAGCGCTTAGTTTGATTCCGGATCATTTTTGTATATGTAATAAGGGATAAGAGCAGACTTTTTTTTATTTCTTTTCGAGGCGTTAACTGCAATCTCTATGTATCTATATATATATATATATATATATATACAGTATAAGAAATGATAAACGATAGCCAATATTCGCAGCTACTATAGGAATAAACAAGGAAATAAACAAATGATATTCTATAAGAAATATTACAAGCATATATACTTTGTATTTCTATAATCTTTACTCGAAATTAATTAGCCCTATCTACATTTCTCTTCTTCGTCTCTTGGTTTTTATCGTGAATTGCGTTATTCATCATTAATTTTTTATTCAATTCCAAATCTCAATAGGCCTACGATTAGAGAGATAGGGAGACAGGGAGGAAGGAAGACAGAGAGGAAGAATAGGAAAGAAGAGATGAGAAGAGAAGGAAAATTATGTGACTGAAATGCTTTCTTAATTTAATGGTCAGAGAGTAAACTGTATAGATGTATATTATTATATATACTAATATTATATACTGTATATATATATTTCATATAATATGTATATTGTATACATAGTATCAGATGAACATGTAGATATACAGCAATAGATAGATAGACTGTATAGCTATACTGCACATATGTTGTATTTACACATGAGAAAGTTCTTATTGTTGGCGTTTTCGGCTCAAGAAATGACTAGATTTGTAAAAGTATCAATAGGTTTTTTCATATTGTGTATGATATATTTATATAAGCTTTCCTTACATTATCGAATGGTAACACTTTTAATACAAAAGAGTAAAACATTTCTCCTCTCTCTCCCATCTTTTCATTTTCTCATTCACTCTTTCTCTCTCTCTCTCTCTCTCTCTCTCTCTCTTAGATGATTCTAGTTAATTAATAATAACGATAATTACTAATAATAGCCTGATATTTTTTAGAGCTACCCTAATTAAGTAGGCCTAATAGTATTATATAATTACAACAATGTTTTTTGCACATTCTCAGAATATTCGTACAAAAGCTGTGGACGTTTTTCATACATTCTGTGTAGTGTATATATAATTTCCAGCCATGCTTTCTCACTTTTATGATAAGACTAAAAAGAGGTGAAAACAATAGAAAAATAATAAGGCTGCTCTAATGAAAATTTGATACATCGTTTGATCAATTAGATAAAGAATTAAACTTAGACACGCATACATAACACGAGTTTATTTTTTCTCTCTCTCACTCGTTTGTCTTCTCTTTCGCTTTCACACACAAACACACACACACACACTCTCTCTCTTGCTCTCTGTGTCTCATTCCCTTTTCCCCTTTTCTCATCTCTACTCTCTTCGCTTGCTAACTGGCTACGAATAGAATGAATAGATATAATGTACCCCTACTTTACATAGCAAATATTCAAGTCATATATAATTAAGTATTAAATATTAAATATTTCCCTGTTAAATCATATACGAGTATTTTGAGCTTGAACTTTGTAGATAAGTGTTTCAAGGGTGGTAAAAAGAAAGGAAGAGTTATGCCTTCAATTGTTAAAAGAAGCATAAAGACGAAGTTAAATAATAAAAAAAAGAGTAATCTATAGATATCAAACATGAACTATTCTTAAGAAGGCGTAATAATATATAAAGAAAAAAAAAGAGAGGAAATTGTACATAAAAGATCCTTTTTTTTCCTCTTCTTTTCTTATTTTATATCCAAAAAGTATGAAAAATTTTAATTGAATTATATTTCACTTGAATATTTTATTATCCTTCTTAAAAAGAGAAAGGGAAAGAGAAAGAGAAGAGAGAGAGAGAGAGAGAGAGAGAGAGAGAGGGAACTGCAACTTTTCATTTCTTTTTCTTTTTCTTTTTTACTCTATTACTCATCCAAAACTTCAATCGTTGAATGTATTCTTTATTTATAATTTATTAGTTAGAGGCAATGATTAATTAGGGGAGAGACGGCTTCTCCCTCTGCACAGAGGAACAAATTAAGAGAGTTAGAGAGCGTACGAGCGCGCGCGCGAGAGAGAGAGAGAATAAATAGACAAAAGAAAGACAAGTATAGAGAATACAATTTCATAAAGAAAAAATTCTTTTTCCTGGAAAAATGAATATAAAATGATAAATAAAAAATATTAATTAAAATTAAATAAGCAACAAGATAGAATATTTAATGAAAAGTTAAATGTGTATTGATATTTAAATGACATTTATCTTTCTACTTGGTTTTCTCTTTTTATTAAAAAAGTTATTATATAATTAAAAAACAACTTTTAATCTTTTTTTTTCTACATTTCTAATAATACTATCACGGCTGTCATTTTTCAATTTCTTCTCTTTCCTCTTCCTTTTCTGCTTTTCCTCTCTCTCTCTCTCTTTATTCAAGTACTCGAGGAAGAAAACAATGGCAAGAGGCCTAAAAATAATCCAATCTATAAACGTGTTTATATATAGGTATTATGTACGTGCGAATGTATACAATACACACAATACATAAGTAGGTCGTTAGTTTTGTCATTCCATACGCAAACAATCTAATAGAAAATCAGAAAAGTAGACTTTTTTTCTCTCTATCTGCCGATTGTTATACAAAAAATAAAATAAATAATTCGTTTACAACACCATCTATCGGACATTTAAGAAATAAATGAGAATTGGAGGAAAGAAGTAAAGTGCTTGTATGCATCAACAACGTAATTAGTCTTGTGGTTAATTTATAATTATATATTTGTAGAAGATTGAGTTTACGCGTTTGAGCCTCTATTTCACGCCTTAAAAGAGTTGTTGAAGAATGGGCAAATGGTATATTTCTTCGTATAAAGAAAGTTGGTAGGAGATGACAGAATGGCAAAATGACAGTGGTGGATGGAAAGAAGGAAATAAAAAACAAACAAACAAACAGTATATATTTAGTCTATCAAGTTGAAAAAGGAACAAAATTAAATATATCCATTAGTTGTAAGCTTTTTAATGAAGATGCTTTGGGTAACGTAATATGACTAAATTCCTTTATTAGATTTTAGAAGAATGGTTAAAGCACTTGAAAAGTAAATACAATATTGCGGTATTGCAGTTTTAAAAATTGTATAACGTTATATTAAATTAACATGTTTGACTATTTTTACTTGACGGGAGGATTTTAGTTAAAGATTTCTTTTCCTGTTTTCAATAGTTAATTGAATTATCTCGTTTCTATCTATCAATCCGTCTTATTGTTAATTAGTTGTAATATAATAGAATTCAAAAGAGACCTGTCCTTCTATATATTTCAATTTTATCTTGGCAAAATATAATACATTATATAATTAGTTGTATATGGTGTCGTCATCGTCGTCAAATACATGCGTTTGTTTCTTACAACAGGAAATTGAAAGACAGTGGTAAAGACGTCCATTTCTGTGTTATTCTATATTAAGGTAGGCGTGAGAGGGAAGGGGCGAAGGGGGGGAAAAGATAGCCAGAAAAAGAGAGACAGAAAGTGAAAAAAATTAAGATAAATTGATGGAGAATAAAGATTGAGTAGTTTAGTGAAAAGAGAGAGAGAGAGAGAGAGAGAGAGAAAGAGAGAAAATACACATAGTAAAATATTTTGTTTGTTTTTTTTTATATAATGCATAAATTACATAGTTTTGTTTGCTATATACAAAATTTACATTTTATCTGCATGAGCACTTCTCCAGAACAAAAAAGAAAGAAAAAGAAAAAGAAACAAGCTTATTACATTAAATTTGTGCATAGAAAGTTGGTTTTTTCCTTTAATAAGTTAATGGTATAAACAGTTTTACAAGTTTTCATTATTATTATTTGTTTTTTTCTTGATTATACATTCAATATTTTATTATGTAATATGTCAATTTCAAATTGTCGTCTCTGTTAGATCCAGTTCAGATTCATTCGACGATTTTTTAGATGATTTCAAAGGTTTTGATTCAGATGCCGAAGTCTCTCCCGCACTTGTAACACCTTGATTTGTTGACTGGGCAATTAATAGCGCCAAACCAGCTGAATATTTTTAATAAAATAGGAAAAGAAGCATTTAGTAAAAAGTAGAAAAAGTTGAAAAGGATAACAACTATATATATACAGTGTAATACACGGTATATATACAGAATGGTGTGCGTATCGCAACAGCTACACATACATTTAATAATATTAAATGTATGTACAGTAAAATACTGTCTACCTGCTATTTATAAACATATCAATGCATAAATTATAGCATGTACAATTAATACATAATAATAAAAAAAAAGAAGAAATGTTTCACTTTAATTATTCAGGCTTCGTTTTTTGCAGATCAAAAATGAAAAAAGAAGAAAAAGAAACAAAGAGTAGAAAAATGAAAAATGAAAGAAAGATTCTCTATTATGAAAAGAATAGAAAAAATAAGGAGAAAAATGAAAGTGAAAAACGTGAAAGTTGTTTACAATCATTGAAGGAAAACAAAAAGTTATTACATTGAAAAAAAATTTTCTTTTTTTGTCTCAATTTTTGTTCTTTTAAAACATTTTTTCTTAAATGTTTCTTTGTTAAATAAGAAAAAAAAATTGTTGGAAATTACTGCAAGAATACCTCGAACAAGTTTGCAAAATGGTATTAATCATTTATTTAAACATTTTGTAAACGAGTTGGGTGTTTCTGACAGCCGAAAAAAAATTTCTTTTATTTCTTTTTTTTTTATTAAAAAATATTGTTGGGAATTTTTTTTTCTTTTCTTTTTCTTTTACTGTTTTTCAACAGCAGTTCAAAACAATTTCATTCAATAAATACGTATATAATCAAGCGTATATATATATATATATATACGTATTGGAATTGCCAAAAAGAAAAATATTGCGAAATAGTTTGATGAAATTTAAATAAAAATGAAAAAGAAATGAAGAGAGAAAAAAAGAAAACAATCTTGTTGTCTTTTTTCTTGTGCATTTTTGAACAGAGAGAGAGAGAGAGAGAGAGTGAGGTTTTTGATTGATTGATTGAATATTACCAAATATTTTTCGGTCTCCCCTTCTTACTTCTTTTATTTGGCGTAAGTCAATTATTTTTTTTGTAAAGAATAAGAAATAAAAAACAGAAAAAGTAAACAAATAATTAAGAAACATAAATAACAAGCAAATAATAATAATAAGAATAAGAATAATAAGAATAAAGAGATATAAGAATATAATGCACGAAGAGTCTTAATTCTAGATAAAAAAGTTAAATCCTAAATCTAAGAGATCGAAAAAAGAAAAGGAAAGAGAGAGAGAGAGAGAAAGAAAGAAAGAAAGAAAAAGATACATGGATGACTAAGACAGTTGTAAAAGATTAAGATAAATAGATAGATAATAGAGATAAAGACAGAGTTTTTAAAAGAATATATCTGATATTTGTTGCAAGAGAAAAAAATGAGGACGGAGGGAATGGAGGAAACGACTTTTCTTACAACTTAACTTATTAAACCAGACGCTCATCTGGTCCGTGAAAAGATTTTGTAAAATTTGTAAAAAATTCATTCGTTTCATTAGATAAGGAGGGAGGAGATATATATATCTTTTCTTCTAATCCCTTTACCCTGTCAAGCATTTTTCTATTGTTTTCAAGTTTTTCATTGTAATTTTCAGTACCAAATGAGTCGTCATCGTTCTCAATCTCTTCCCCTTCGTCCACCTCGTCCTCGTCCTCTTCCCCCACTTCCTCCTCCTCCTCCTCATCTTCATCCTCATACTCCTCCTCCTCCTCTACTTCCTCCACTTCATCATCTTCCTCAATTTTTTTCTCTTCATTCATACATGTTTGACTAGAATTATTTTGAACGAACGTACTCGGTGATGTTATTCCACCGTTTACACCTGCCGCCATTTTGGAAGATTGTCTGAAGAGCATACGTTGAGATGCAGCAGTTGCCTGCCGAACATTTTTATGAGGTTGGAAGAGTACAATGTACACCTTGGGAAGAAATAGGCAAAAAAGGGCAACCGTTGCACTTATGCTAACGCACATACAAAGCGACGTAATTTGAATCTATAAAGTAAAAATAAATTAGATTTGTAATTATTACCGTAAATACAATAGATTAAATATTTCAATAGAGAAAAAGGGTTAATTAGGAGAAGCGAAATATTCGTACCTTAAAGTCGCTCTTCGTTCCAAAGTAGATAGGTACAAACGCCAACCAAACTATACAAGTGGAATACATTGTAAAAGCGATATACTTAGCTTCGTTAAAGTTCTCGGGAATCTTTCGAGTTTTAAATGCGTACACTGTACACAGTATTATAAGAACCATATTGTACAAAAGTGACATAACTATTGCCACGTTCGTACTCTTGCACCTTCGAACGACATTTCTTCTATCTGGATAGACTGTTACAGTGTCGGGAAAGTCCATACCCAACCACGTTACGGCACCTATTAATTGTACCGATATTAGACATAAGCAGATGACCAATTGCGATTTGGGTGATGTATAGCTAGGCCTCTTAACCATAGCTTTAATGCCCCTGTTGAAAATCCTAGATATCCTATTCGTCTTTGTGAATAGGGCGGAGTAGCAAACTGATGGAGAGGACAAGTGCTTTGCTTCATGAATAAAGTCTAAATTTATCAACTACCTGACAAAGATAATCCCAGGCCAATACGAAGTAGAGTGCAGGATACGACTGTAGGCTCCCAGACCATAACGAAAGTCATTAGATAGCACATTATTAAACCACATTGCAGGACATAACATAATTCTCTACCAGACGCCATTATAATTGGTGTGGAATCGAACTTAATGAAAACGAGGAAGACAAATATAGTGGCGGCAATTCCGAGCGATGCAAAAGCAGCAGGAATGCTCGCCCAAGGGCTTGAGAATGTCATAAACTGTACTTGAAGCGAATCGCAATGGTTTCTTCCGGAATTTGGCCAAGTTCCATTAGGGCAGGTTTCGCACCTTTAAAACAAAGGTAATCAAATAGTATTCATTATTAAATAGTAATTGCTTTAGCAGTAAAAGATTATGAATAAAGAACTAAATAAGGCCTACTTTTGTACAATAAACGCTAGCTAAGCGGGAGAAAGAAAATAGTTGACAAAAAAGAATAAGCTACCGTCTAACCCTTAAACTAGGTTATAAAGTAGTTATCTACCTATTATATATCAATTTTCTTTATATTTGTCATTTTTTTATGAAACTATCAGCTAAAATATGTTTGAGTGTCTGCTAATTAGCCTTTAAATGATCAAAAATTGATGTGAAATCGCACACTAAACGATCTTCTCTTTTTCTTTTACTGTTGCGCCCCCTATTACACTATTTCCCATAATGATAATAATAATAGTATACTGTATATATATATATATATATATATATATATATATATATGTACAGTATATACAGCAAACAAGTGTGGCGATAATTTTAAATGGAATTAGAAATGAAACTATTGATTAAAGTCTTATTTGTTCATGCCTTTGTCCAGTTTGATTATCGAGGGCGATAATCTCAAAATCTTTACAAGCCTGACAGTCCCAGCAACAATCTCCTGGACGTTTTCGCCGAATTTCACCATCCCTACACGGCTCGTGACAAATTGAGACAGGTAGTTCCGTAGAACCGTTACGCCATCTGGTTAGAGAAGAGTTAATCGTAAGAATCTCATCCCACTTTCCAATTGTAACGTAGTCGTATTTATCCTTCTTTTTCTGATATTGATATATAGTATATCCTCTCATCCCATCGCCATTTTCATTAAATTGTATTTTGTTGCCAGTTAGGCCTATATAAGTGGGTAAAAGGAAAAAGAAATCAAGAAAAAATATCAAGAGATTTAGAGAGAGAAAGGAATGAGAGGGAAAGAGAGAGAGAGAGAGAGAGAGAGTAAGAAAGAAAAAGTGATGGACAGATAGATAAAGCGTGGAGAAGGACAAAATAAAAATATAATTAAATGAAAAGGAAAATAAAAGGAATATATAGAATGTATTTAATATTTTGTCTATGTTGTTTGTTACCATCTGTGAATGAAACATTTCTGATCATCGTTAGCAACTCTCCGCCTTTTAGTATACCAAGTTGAGATTTTGTAACGTTTAAACGTTGGATAGCTCTTGCAAAAGTTTCGACGGCGTCAACAACAAACGGTACTAATCCCTCCTGGACAATACTTTCCGAACTTAGGCTTTCATCACCTTAAAAAATAAAGAGAGAATGATATATACCATTGCAAAAATACAGTAGTATATACAGTATATACTGTACATAAAAACGTTGCATTTAAACTTGACAAACACAGAATAACCGTAAATAAATTATAGACCTAATATAATTAATATTGAATATTTTCTCATATCTCTAATTTTCAAGGATTCAAATAGTATAGTAGACTAAAGAAAGAATGAAAATAAACTGACTTTTTTACCAATATTGATTAAAAAGTATATAAGCTATATTTCATAAAAGACAAATTAGTAGGTGAATGGAGAACTGGAGTTGGAATGATGAAAAGGAGAAGGAAGAGAGGTTATCAACCGTAAGGAAATAATTCGGAATACGCTATACTATACGTCTTTACAAGTAAATATATCTATATACTTCAAGTACATATACAGTATATTCACATAAACAATCGATATATACATACTGTATATACACAATAGTAAAAATTTAAGGAAAAGCAAACACATAGAGAGAGAGAGAGAGAGAGAAAGAAAGAGAGAAAAAACAGAGGAAGAGAGAGAGAGAAGGAGAGAAACAGAAGAGGAGAAATGAAAAAATTATTAATTGTAGTTAAAATGTTAACAAGTAACGGTTTACGAGTGCAAATTGTTTTTCGATAGGCTAAATTTGCCCCGGTCTTAGCCTATGGAAATGTCATATTGATTGACTATGAAAAGTAATACCAAAAAATCAAAGTGACTTGGTTTTGATGACAACGCCAAGTATATATGTAATGTTAATACAAGTAGCAATAATGCATTCCTTTTCAGATAAACGCTCTAAGATTTGTATTTTATATACAGTTTTATGTATCAATCATTTCTTTCTCTTTCCTCTTAAAAGAAGTCAGTAAATAGACTGTTTATTTATTTATTTTATTTGCGAATGCAATGTATGCTGTTATAGTAATATATAGCATTTTTTGCGGTATGAGCGTTTTATAGTCTATACTGTACTGTATATGCTGCATACTGTATAAAGGTATGTAAACCTCACACATACATTTATACATGTTTCTCTTCACTCATACATGATATTTCTATTGGCTACAAACTACCAACATACGCACAGTAGCACTATACTGATAAAGATAACTAGACGATATAATGGAATATAGATGGAAAAGAGATGGAAAAGAGTAGAAATCTTAGAAAAAAGAATCAACTACTTATAAGATCAGACTGAGTAAGTTAAAAAGGTAGCATAAGTCAACACCTTTTGCCAAGTAATTATTTCGCCCATGTTTTTTTTTCCTTTCTCTAGAAAAATTCTATGTATTGACTGTGAAAAATATTAATTTATTTCTTACTAAAAGAAACTAACCGAGAGTCTCTGGCTGCACTAAGTCAACAGACAAAAAAACTGACAAAGTAGATGACTGGAATGATAAAATATGGAGGGAATCTGTATTTATTTTCTCGCTATCCCTAAAGGAAGCTTGACGCTGATAAACTGCAATAGAACTAGACCAGAAGGTAGTTTGGGGCCTTGGCAAACACGATCCGTGTTTTTAGGGCACGTGGTTCGGAGCCTATCCCTGAGGGCTTACGACATAGTATAAACGATGTATATGACGAATGATGACGTCCTACTATTCGCTCTCATTCGGCAGTAACCAACTATGCGAGAAGGTGTCGACTGGTTGGGGTGTGAAGATAGACGCTCTCTTAGGCTTTCTATTCACAACTTATTACTCATAAACACAAAAATAATTCCCAATGTAAACTTTTACTGGTCAGAAGTTGATTAAGCTGTTTGAACAAGATCACGTGGTTAGCTTTATTTGCATCCAGCCAACTTTAATATCCTATGGTCCTATAGTATACTTTTGTAATCCTTTCAAATAGTTTTGTTTAAAGAAGGTCTTCATTAATTAATTAATTAATTAAATTTTACTTTTTAAATATATCATGCGAATTTACAGCTTATTGAATGAGGTATAGTATAGATTAATCCTTAAGAGCTGAGAAGAAAGATGGGCAAAATAAGTGAGCAAAGGGAGTTGGTTAGAATATGAAAAAGATTGCCAATTTCCCCTTTTCCAATGGACTAGCGTGATTCACACACTTACGTGATAAAGTTAATTATTGCTTTGCTTAATTACTCTATACGGTTGAATGAGTCTGTCCATTTGAACTGATGTGGTCATAGTTAAAAGATGAACTTCATCTTTGTTCAATGATAAATGTTTAGCGGGAAAAAACACTGGTGAAAAGGGAAAGGAAATATGACTTTTGACACGAATAAAACAAATATAAATATAATTATCTATAGACAAAACACAAGCAAAAGTACTCGTTATTCTTGAATGTTGTTAGCAAGATCAGGTAGTGGTATTGTAAGTTGTTGCATGCTATATATACAATATATATGCCAACAATATTTTGGTAACAAGTAACTATAAATTGTTGGCCTATAGCTTTATTTTTGTATTATATCAAAAATTAGGATATAATTTCTATATTTCTGCTATTCTCTCTTCAATACTCGAGCAATTTTTCTCATTCCTTTTTCGTCTTTATATCCATTTTCCCACCCTTTCCTCACCCTGCTTCCTTTTCATTACCCTTTTCTCAACTTCTTATTCACTTATTAATATATGCGCACTCTCACATATCTATTATTCTTAATCTGTTACTCATTTTCTTTCTTTCTTTCTCTCTTTCTCTTTTCCTCTCTCTCTCTCAATCATCTTCTAATTTTGAAATTATTTCCAACTAATCCTCACATAACGTCATCTAATCTCTAAGCGAAAAAGACTATATTGAAAGTTATAGATTGGGAAAGAAAACAGTTAAATGTCTCGTCAACTTCTGTGGAAACATTGTTAAAATGGTTATGGAGCTAATTTTAAGAGAAACTGGTGTTAGAAAAATATCTGAGAAAGAATTAGTTCAATCTAAGCTAATTCGACATTCGCTACAGGCTAGTCACCTGACCCAACTCTATAAATAAACCTATTTACACATTTACTGCCATATTTTCCCCTCTTAAATTATAAGCGTGAGGCTTTCCAACTACGATGTTGATTACAGGGTAACACGGTCCCCTAAAGTAGGGATAAGGAATTAAGAAGCACGTAAAAAAAGGAGGAAAAACATAGAAAATACATTGACTTTTCTACACCCTTACCATCCTATATACATTTTTGCCGAATGTATGCTAATGTCATATAAAAAATACAAAACCTTATGGACTGCAAAACGGTTCTCTTCGTCCGTCTCTCTCTCTCTCTCTCACTTTTTGTTACATGGTTTACTTTCTATCGTTACTGTATAACCCTGTTACTTTTTAGCTTCAGCTCCTGAACCTATATCACTCTTTGGCTTTCCACCCCTTTCTTACTTCTTTTATTTCGATACACTTACCATAATCTGCTTACTTATATGTACTGTGTTTGTTTGTGTTTTCTTTTCTTTAAGAGTCGAAACTTTTAGGCAATTAATCAACAAATTAGGCCTAAAGACAGTAATTAGCAATGCCAAACGTGGTAAACATAGATATACTCTTCGCTATATGCAAACTGACTTACCAGTACAATTCTTCTTTGTATCATTTTTAGTCCAAGAACAATTAAAATGAGCTTCCCAAAATTCTTTAAACCAAGGGTTTTCGTTATTTCTGACAGTAAGATTCTTGAAGTATCGGTCGAAAGCTGTGTACATTGGAAAAAAAGAGAGGATTAGAGAAATGAAAAGCTTTAGACGGAAATTGTTCCGCCCTGCTAATTTCAGGGAAAGGCTTGGAGGCAAGAAAGGCGTAAAAATTCAATCTGAATAATCGTTAAACTTTTTTAATCATTGAAAAACAAGTTCAAACTGCCTCGTTTTTTTTATTATCGTCTTAGGTACAATTTATAGAATTTAATTAGACGCCTCAAATATAACTAAGCAATTAAATTGGTAAAGGTAAGGTGTGTTTCTTTCCTTTTTATTTTAGAGTTTGTTTGTATGCAAAAGATTAATGCCAAAGTTACTAATTAAGCGTATGATTAAAAGTAAAATATAATTAAACATTATATGTAAAAATGCATATACATGCATATATATATATATATATAAATATATATTTATATATATATTTATATATTCTCTATATAGAATTATTTACAAGAGCAATTTTTTCCTACAGAGAGAAATAGATTGCATTATGAAAAGTGAAATTAATGTTTTTTGGCGGTTTATTATCCCCCAAGGCTTTCAAGATTAGATGGCATTTTATGTAACGGATCAAAGTAAATAAAAACTTTAAGATTCTTCCTCTTTCTCTTCCTTCCTATACTATCCCTGCGTCTTTCTCCCCTCCGCCCCCTCCCCCTCTCTCTCTTCTCATCCTGCTCAATTAATCTCTCTCCTTACACTTTATAAATCTAAGGTGATAAAAGTTATTTGCAACTTATCAAGGCGGTCAATGGTTTTAGAGAGAGAGAGAGAGAGAGAGAGAGAGAGAGAGAGAGAGAGAGAGAGAGAGGGAGAGGGAGGGAAGGAATGAAGGAAAAGAAAGAAATGAATAAAATGCAACTTTTCTAAAATTGCTTTATTGCTTTAGCCTTAATGTTCATGTTTTTAAATAGAGAAAGCATGGTCGCTTGTACCTTGTTTGTGTTTATAAAATTTTTGACTGTTTTAATAAGTCTAAGTCTGCTACAAAGACAATAGGAAAAAAGAAGCAGAAAGGTTAATATAACATAATAAATAATTGATAGGCGAGGCGTAATAGATGCCTTTATGATTTATGAATTATAAATAATATATCAATAATCTATAAATGATGAAAAATAATAAATCAAAAGAAGGGAAACGTTTTATGTTAGGAGAAATGAAAAAGTTAACAAAATGGCCGATAAATTTGTTTTTCTTTTTCATTATAAATATTACATACTTTTAGTATTTTCTCCAGGAAATCAAAATGGAAAATAGAGTATGGATAAAAGTTTGTAGGAGGAGAATTTTTCCCTTTCACTTTCAATCGCTCTCTCTCTCTCTCTCTTCAACAGAATGGAAGAGATGAAAAGATTTTATTGTACTATAAAACTAAGGGCTATATCTGGTTCTCTATGACAGTTAATATCTGGGTCAAAAACCTTCTGACATATATATCGATCATAATCTGATATGTCGACCAACTGTGATCGATAAGCGTTTTGGTAACATTTGACAAAAAGATTTATGAACGAAAAGTAGAATCGATGACGGATGAAAACTAGGACCATAGTTCCTTCTAATTTCAGAATAGCGTACTGGTAATGTGTGCCAATGTATTGGAAGGAAACGGAAGAAGCACTAGGAAGCGAAAAAGAGAAGAAGAGAGAAGAAAAGGAAGAGATAGAAGAAGAAAGGAGAGAAAATTGGGGGTTTTAGTTAAGTGGAGGCTTGAGACAAGATTGAGTAGCCCTTTTCATTTTATCAACGCATTATTTGAATAGTGTTGATTCATAGAAACATTACAGATAAACAAAACTGCCGTTCACCCATCTTAATTCACAACCTATAGGAGGCTACGACCTTTTGACGTTATTTATCGATTCAAAGTCTTATATAGAAAGAAATCGGGGTCTAAATCGATAGAGGTTACGCCAACTTTACACGCCATTATGAATAATAAATAAACTATATTTACCGACTAACTGATTCCTTTCTGGTAAGATTGTTACAGTTCCTTCGGCCGCTTCTTCGTTGTTGCTTACAGGATGGGTTTTCGCTCCCCAGCTATCACTCGCTAAAAAGGTTAACTCTCTTCCACCTCTTTCGGACCTAGTTAGTTTATACGCCTCTAAAAGCCGTCTTACGTTGTCTTCGTTGACAAACATTACTACGACCTGAAGAGAAAAAAAAAGACAGAAAAATGTGAAAAAACCACGTAACGCTTGAGTTGTAAAAGACGCCTGATATTTAGAATATAAAAGCGGAAAGGCTTAATCCCCTGTTTCTTTTTCTATTTTGTTAAGGACCCGTAGCAGACAGGTTAAGCTCAAAAACATCAATGGGTCATTAAAAAAGATGGTCAAGGTGAAAATGGTCGAAATATAAGAGAAGAACAAGAAAGATAAGAGATAATAATATTTACTTTTGCTTTCTTCTCTTGATAGAACTCTGAGAGAATATTTTTAAAAGTATCCTTATAAATTTGTCGTCCAATTTCCTTCTGTTTCGCAATACAAATGTCTGAAAGTAAACATTTGTAAATGTTCCATTAATAAAAGGGACAAAGCGAGGTTTGTTGAGTATTTATATACAGTATACTGTACATATATATATATACATTTTGCAGTATAAAACTATAAACATATACTGTATAAGAAAATCAACAATTGAAGAAAGATTAATACTATACTCACCTCTATTAGCGGCTTTCTCTTTAAAGGCCGCTATTCCTTTTTCTCCGTAATTTCCTTCATCAGCTAGAGTTAGTACGTTGTTCCATTTAAAATGTTTAACAATGTCGACCATTGCACGAGCTTGATAATTATCGGGAGCAACAACTCTTGTGAAATATTCAAATCTTGTCTTGTCGCTTAACTCCATGCTTGTTGATGCGTAGCTTATTTGAGGAATCTGTTTTCGGTTCAATTTTAACGCCAATTTTACTCGATTCGTATTTAAATTTCTTTTGCCTAATTTAATTTTTCTTAATGAGCAGACTTTATAATCTTTAGAAGGAGAAGACGCAATCGGAATAAACTGGTAAAAGTCTTTTCGTACATGTACTACAGTATATCTAGTTTTGTTTCTGCCCTATATAGAGCATGTATTACGTATTTAGAGACGAGGATTTTTATGCAATTTATTCAAAGGATGAAAGAGAAATAGAGAACTAGTATGGGCAGGGGGAAGTTGGGCAGGGGGTGAAAGAAGCCCCGGCGGCGTCTTTTTGCTCCATACGCGTTATTTCGCTTTAAGAAACCTCTTCATCCATTCTTTTTAAAACCCTTTTAACAGTTAAAGCCATATAATGAATTGTTTTGTGGGTAGGAGGAGGTGGAACAGTAAAATAAAAAAAATATATATATATATAAAAAAGCAGGACGTCTCTAAACTCCGTCAACCAACAGCAAAAGTGTCGGATTTGAGTGATTTATACTCGTTTGTCTCTTAGGTATTTTCCCTTTTTTCCTAAAACGGCCCGAAAATTATTTCTTCTCTCTACGGAGAAATTCCCTCATACTTCCGCCTACTTTTATTAACGCTTTTGAGCTCTTTTGAAAAGGGAAAAATCTATAAACCTTAATACATTGTTTACATTATTAGTTTATTAATATTCATAACGAATATGTCCTAATCTAATCGGTAGCGACGTAAGCAAATTATACGTGAAATATTTATATACAACTGCGGATATTTATTAACCCTCAATCAACGTTATAGCTAAAGTTAAAAGAAGAAAGAGCCGCTTCCCTTTACTCTCTTCCGACTACGTTTTATAACAGAGAAACAGGAGATTTTTCTACATTGTCGTCTATTCCATTATTTTGCCTATCTGACTCGGCTGCGGAATTCTGTACGACGACTAGGATTAATCCAAGGGTGGGCTTTTTTTTCCTTGTTTTTTCTCTGGAAAGCCCGCTATTTTTCCCTTTATTTCCCTTTGCCTTCCCTTTCCTCTAGGCTAGCGCCTAAAGACGTGTGAGGCGTCTATTAGTAGAGTAACAAAAACAGAGAAACAATTGAAATTGCAATACGGTAATTAATTACCTGTATTGATCCAAAGTCGAGCAAAGATTTATACAAATCTAGCTAGTTTGGCGGAATATTTACAAACTTTGGTCGGCTCATTCTGTTACTTTCTATTGTTATATTTGCTAGAATAGAATAAAAATAAAAAAAAACAGAAAAGAAAAGAAAGAAACAGGCGAGAAGGATAGAGAGATGGATTATGCACGGAAGAAGAGTAGCGGGGGGAGGGAGGGCAGACGAAGGAGTGGGGGCAGGAGGGGGGAGGGGAGTAGAGGGCGGAGGTTATGGAAAAAAAGAAAAACAGAGAGAAGAAGAAAAATATAAAAAGAAAGCTTCATCCCGGCCGAGTTGGCTAATAGAGCGTTTCGAAATCAAAGGACAAACACGAGCGAATCGTTTGATAGCATCATGTCGTTTCTTAGTGAAAACGACTGTTGGGAGATTGAAATGGAATTGGTAGATATCGAGTAATTACTTTCTAATCGAGATAGTAGCTTACTTTCTATTTCTTTGTTTTTTAAATCACAATTGTTAATAATAACAATCATTAAATAAGCCAGCAGACAATAGATAGAAGGACGATGTGAGGATTGGAGAGGAGGAGTTGGAGGGGGAAAGGGGAGGAGGAGGGAGAAATCTAATAAAAAGAAGAATAGGAAGCAGTAGAAGGGAACGACGAGAAAGAAAATCAAGGTGTGTACGTTACGACGTCTTGTAAGATAGGTAGGCCGTTAAACAGTAGTATTATATACGTTATGTTTTCTTTTTGTTTTTACATATATACAACTTTTCCCGCTTATTATAAACATTATATGAAATTTTACCTCAAACAACCGTAGAATGTTTGCAACCATAATCGACACGGCACTATTTGAAGCACCAATAACTCCGGCAACTCTTTTTAATTTCGTTGCGTTCGTGTTGGGGCAACGATCCTTAGTCATATAAGGTTCTATAAATACTATAGATTCTTGTAAGGCGTAGGTATCGCTGGAGCAAGTGTCTAAAATATGAACACCCAAAGTGATATTTGGCAATAATTTATTATCACTATTTATTTTCTTGACGGCGAACATCATAGCTTCCATCCTTTGGATACCTTTCTCTGCTTTCAGGTTTCCGCATGGTTTCTCAGAACTGTTCCCACTTTCATGCATGGGAAAAAGGCCTCCTAATATAACGTCACCGTCCATTGTATAATTCGTTGATAAAGTTGAATAGAATGAGGGCAACAAAAGTAAAAGTAATAGCATAGCCGGCGTCTAGAAGGCGACTGAGGCGTCTAAAGGCGTCGCCTGGATCGTTTGTTGCCTATTCAAACCGTAAAAGCTGCACAGCAAGTCGATAATATCGAATAAAAATTGATTAGGCTATCTAATTGGCAGGTGACACTCTGGAAATTGAAGACGAAATTCCGTTCACGATTTGATCTAGCGCCACCATCCTTTAGTATGCGGACAAGACGGACAAGGTCGGTCTTTATATCTTAGCATAATTGCATGAGACCTGCCGGAATAAGAGCGATCACGTGACTCGGAAAAAACTTATCATCCCAATTAAAAACAATAGGATAGGCAAAGATTTTCTTATATCTTTAGAATTTCTTTTTTTATTGTTATTAATTCTCCTATTCATTGCTTTTACATAAATTTGGGTTCTTATTATTTTATTCTGGTATCTTTTTATACTGCAAATGATTTCTTATACGAGTATGTATGTATGTAGATTTATAAGTGTATGTTACAATAGACTGAAGAGCGTAGAGTGTACAATACGTACGCATGAATCTATGCAGCTGTGTGTTTATACACTTCAGCGACTTGCACGTGTTTTTTATTGAAAATGATAAGGGCGAAATAGGGGAAAAAGTATCAGGCAACTTTTATACATAATAATGAGATAGAGAGCATCCATCTCCTTCTGCCGAATGGGAATATTTTCTATTCCATTTACGGACTATCAAAAAAACGAGGAAATGATAATTTAACATTGCCGAAAAACTTTAATCATCTCTACACATTTTTTATTAAATTAGAAAGGAATAAACAAGCAACTAGAAAGGGATGAAAAGATGATTAATTATTAGTTGGAGAGTATGAAAGCATATGCTAAAAGGGGGAGTTATTTTAATAAAGATCGTCTAGAGTACTCTACAGTAATCGACTGTATCCAATTGTATTGTATTTATATTGTGGTGCTACTGCAATCGTCCGACCATAAAAGGCTTTGCAGTTCAGTTAGGGTCTGTGTTTTTTTTTCCTACCCTCTAGTCATGCGTCAAACCGCCTGACATTTCGCTTAAAAGCGGAGAAAGAAGAGGAAAAATCGAGCGAAAATATAGGCAACGTGTTTTTTATATCCCCCTCGAATCACTTTCAATTCCACTGGGGTAAAGAATTAGAGACTTGACAAAACATCTGCAGTTTTCCTTCTAGTTTGTCCAGATTGGTAAAATATTCAAACTCTTTCCCAGCTCCTCAAATTCCGCCTCATTAGAAGATTTAGAAAATATGCACTTGGTTCTTGATTCTCTTCGTATGTTGCGCTTGCTTGTTATGTGTCTGCAAGCGCAGGTGTATATATTACTACACAGTGTTTATATCTTTATCTTTGCCATAAACTTTATTTAATTATAAACATGTAAGGTAAAAATTTGGTTCAGGTGTTCATACACAACAAACAAAGAGACGCCAACGTCACTTCCTTCAACCTTTTAAAAAGAAACTATAATTAACATTATGCATCATAATAATAATAAAAAGAGAAAAAGAAGAAGAGGGGAAAAAGAATAAAACCTTTTGTATAAAATTTTATTAAACGTTTATATCCTTATAATTCATTGAGGATCTTTGATTTCTCTCTCTCTCTCTCTTTCTCTCTCCATACCTGGATTTTCTCTTCTTCCCTTTGTAGAATTTAGTGACAAAGTAGGCCTAGTCGTTGGATAGTTGAACGTAAGAATAATATTTTAGGCAGTGGTTTGTTGTGCTAGTTTGAAAATAAATTTTGTAGTTTGTTTTGTTTTTCACAATGGCCCTTATGTTATAAGGAACTTAAGAGGAAAATTGGTGAAATCATACAATAATTCAGTTAATAACCAGGTTCTTTACAGCCCCTTTTTCTCTCTCTCTCTCTATTTTCTATTCATTTTCCCTCATTCAGTCTTCCCTTCCTTCTCACTCACTCTCTCTTCATTTTTTTATTCACTTTTTATAAGCCTATGAATACACTTAATTAAAGAGAGAAAGAGAGAAAAAAGTATTGAAAAAGTGAATGCCTAGTTTATAAATATATACACAGTAGATATATGTTGGCATATGTATAACTTTATATCTATTGGATTAGAGGAGTATCCTAAATAAACTCATTTTTTTATTAGCTTAAATATTTAATTACGAAGCTCATTAACAAAGTCTGACCAGTCCGTCTGCCCCTCACTTCGATAGTACGTACATAATTAATGGGTTAAATTAGCTTTTCGGTGTTAATTTTCTATATTATAGGATAGAATTCCTGGGGAAAAAAGAAATTATCAATTCATATATGTATATATTTATATTCTTCATTTCTCCTTGTATTAGATTATACTAAAGAGCATAAAGAGTTTGACTCCTTCTTTTTTTTTACTATAATATCTACAGATAACCTTTAATTCTTCTCTCATCTTTCCCTATATCGATTCGAAAGCGAGAAATTGCAGGTCATTTATTTTACTAATGCAACTAATGCACTTTAAAACAACATTCATGGCCTTTTTAAGAAGAAACTTTATATCCAGATCAGTCCCTTTTTTTTTAAATGCAAACTCTATATTTCCTACTAGCTGAATCTTAGTAATATGCTTATTACATACAGTATATCTATAAATATACATATATATATATATATATATATATCTATATATATGAAATAACAAGTTAAATTTACAAATAAAGAAAGTAAAGCTTTTAGTAAATATAAACTATCTAGTCACGTCTATTGTAGCTTATTGCAGTACAAATTTCTCATTATACATATAATATGCAAGTCTCATCTAACGGAATTCACTAGGGATTTGGTTTGTGTAGGTACATGCGCGATACTCGACCGTACGCGTATTACTTTTCAAAGAGGTACTATTGTACATTTAATTAGCAGTTTTTCTTTAGAGTAGTAAATAAGTCTTGTCTCTCTGTCTCTGCTCCTCGATCTAGCTCTGTCTAGCTCTCTTCTTCTTCTTTTTCTTCTTCTTCCTCTTCTCTTCTCCTCCTACTTCTTCTACTTTTCCTTATAGATGCCAGTTGTTTGTTTATATCAATCGACTAGGTGTCTCTTTTTGTTTTTTTTCTACTCGACAGTAGTATCTATCAATTTTTACTTTTCTTCTCTTCTCTTCTCTGTCTATTTTTCTTTAAAAAAAAAATATTTACTTTTTCGTACTAGTTACTTTATCAACGCAAAAGTAAATTGTTCTTACTAGTTTTACACGCTTCATCGCACTATTCGAATTAACTTTATGCCTAATTAACTCGGTTTTAGATCATGTTGCCTTTTTCTCACTTGTCTCGATAAGTGACATTCTTATACCACCATAGGCCTAAAACTTAACCACTTAAAAGCTTTTGCAGTATCGATGAATTATTATTGATTTCTCTGCAAGCCCTCTCCTCTTCCCTCTCCCTCCAGCCCTTTCGCTAGAAAGAAGTGAATGGTTTACAACATCCCCAAAGAGATAACAGAGAGCTGACACCACTTGTAAGCTAAGGTCAATGAGCTGGGCGATTAAATCCAGCCCCTAATCGGTTAGAGGTATAATTGAATTAGAGAAAGGGAAATTCCAATATGGAGCGCCTGACCTCGTTCAGGTTATAAATTGATTTAGCATTGTTTGTAATATGATACATCCAACTGGACAAACATTGGATTTATACGACGTCAGAGTGAAAAGTGACAATAGACAATAGATTCATGACGTCACGAAGAGCTATGCTTCAATATTTTTAATAACTATACAACGTTTTAGAATAGTAAATTATGTTTGCATTTTACAAACATTTTCCAAGTTACAAAATCAAAGTATGTATGAATAGTATCTCAATTATTACCTTATTAACTTGTTATATGTCTAAAACGAGCAATTTTGCAGTATTATACACATCTATACGTTATAGTATATATATATATATATATATATATATATATATACTGCAATATATATCTATATATATAATATAGCATATATACTAATATATATGGTATATACACCGCAAGTAATTACATTTTGCATTCTCTTTTGACTATCTTTCTTTTCATTAGTTTCTCCGTAATCTCTTTCTTGAATGTCTCTAATAATGTCATTCATTCGACGTTAGTGGGCACTTCTCTTCCAAATATCTCTTTATAAACTGCATACAGTTATACTGCATACTATATGCTATATATATATTTATATATATTAACAATTTAACTCGCATTACCTGGGGACTTTTCCAAGTATTCCTTCCATCTTTTCCTTTTCCTTAAGGGGCAAAAAAAAAGTACGTTTCTAAAAGATGATAAACGACATCAGATGCCATCTCTCGGTTTTTAATGTAAAAACATGGAATATTCTCTTTTCAACGTTCAGTCATAATATGAAACATTGTAGTTGAGCAGCACCGATTTTACTTTTCTAACTAATAAAATAGCAGACAAATCGTACTATTTATTAATTTATTCATTCATTCATACATACACAGTATACAGTATATACAGTATATATACTAATATATATATATATATTTATATATCAATTTATATATACAGTATATATTGTATTTTGTTCTTAATTTTATTTAATCTAAATTGAATATTCATAAGCTTTATTATTTAGCTTTGCTATTAATTATTGCTTTTGTTTTTTGTTCCTTATCAGGGCTGTTCGGCTGTTAGTCTTCGTCTTCTACAATAAGCTCGTCTTCGTGTCCTTTTTCTATTCGACTAGCGAAACTGTTTATGTTAACAAATAAGAAAACAAAAGACTAGAAAAACCAAGAGGTAAAAGTAGTATTAATTGATAAAAGCAAGTATACTAAAATCTATCTCCTACCTTGCTAGAATGACGCTCAAGATACCAATTAGACCCGCTACAATAAACACTAAGCCTGGATAGGTTGTCTTGGAGGTTTGGGCATAAATCAGGCCAAAAATTATATTGCCAAATAAATCAGCTAGAGTTTCTACGAAGCAAGTTCCGGAGAATAAAGCCCCTTGTTGTGTGTTCGGGACAAGGAGTGACAGGTAACCTCTTATCACAGGAAATCCGACCAGAGTTCCGCTGCCCGCTATCACACCTAGAAAAGATGATAGAAGGAACAGTTGGCAGAAGTTTTGCAAGTTTACCTCGAATAGAGTAAGAACATGAAGAAAAATGAATCACTTACCGATGTACATGACCCATGTTTTAAAGGCTACAGCCTGGGTAAAATGAGATAGGCAGCTACTTAACATTCCGACGGCGGAAACCGATAATAATCTTATATATTTTAATAGAATAATTAAGATAATAAAAGCCAATAGGCTACCGACTATTGTAGATACAGCTGCATATATACCAATATCGATAGGATCCCAGTTCAAAGGTGGTCTCATTACGTATAGAAATAAGACATTTAACTTTCCACTAAATGCCAACAAATTAAGGAAGAATGCTGCGCAACAAATTTTAATTAGTATTCCTTTTCGGCCTTGAATGAGGAAAATTTTGAAAGAATCTCTAAAATGACTAAATCGGATTAGCACACGAAGTCTATTAACTTGTGGTGGTGGTATTAAAGATTCTGGTACGAAGATTAGGTACAGCAACGAAATCACGTATATTGATAAAATTGACGTAAATGGTAGTACGAATCCTGATGCATCTATCCAAAAACCAATGCAAACCGATACTATAGCAGATATAAGGATCATAATTCCTTCGGCGACTACGATTCGCACTGCTCGATCTCCTATGGGACTTCTATCGGCTATATAGGAAAAAGAGCCAAACAAAAAGCCCTAAAGGTGAAATTGAAACATCAAAATTAGGATAGACAATCCCTTATTTCCTTACTAAACCCACTTTTACTCCTCCGCAACATCCGCTAATCGCCTTGCTGACGTACAAATAGTAAATATTGCCGTCGAATACGACAATTAGGACAGCAATTAGAGTGTCCAAAATCAATCCTATTAGTCCTATATACATGACAGGTTTTCTTCCAATCATATCGCTCCATGGCCCGAGGAGAGTAATTGTGATAAGAGTGGGAATGCTATGAAAGACATTGACTAATAAAAGGAATTGAGCAGCTTCTGTCTGATCATCGTTATTATTTGTTAAATTATCCGTTAAATTCTTTTGCAGTGAACTTTGAACAAATTGAGCTACAATGGCCGGTTTAGACGACGCAGCAGAAAAAACTAAAAATATTAAAGGTTCAATTACATATTTACATCTTCTCGTTTCCGGAACTTTCTTAGGTCCTTCGTATCCAACTTTATATGAATCCTCCAGTATTGGATCTGTATCCTCATCTAGATCACTGCGGTCATTATGTATTCTTCTAACAACATCCATTGTAGGATCTATATAGTATATATAAAATATTCTGTGAGCGAGAAAATGATAGAGAAAGGGAATGGCGGGTGGTGGAAGAGAGAGAGAAAGAGAGAGAGAGAGATAAATAAAGTGGTAGGACTGAATTAAAGGGAGACAAAAAGAGAGGCAGAGAGAGAGAGAGAGAGAGAAATTTAAGAGTCAAAGATAACTAGAATGGGAAATTTTTGCTTACTCGAGCTCTACGAAGCATATGTAGAATATTTCATTGTTTATCATTCATTCAGTCATTTCATTTGCATATTAATAGAGGGAGAACGAGTTTAAACGCGATAATTATCTGACAGATTTTATATATATAAAAAAAAACATTTCGCCGCTGTTGCCTCTATCTATCTGGGCTTTCTCTGTCTGTCTCTTTGTCTCTGTTCCTGTCTCTCCCCGTCTATCTGTCATTGGCTCTCATCCTCCCTCTTTCTTGGTTTTCAACCAAACCGTGATAATTGATAGTAACTTACCGTTGTTTATTGGAAAATTTGAGAATTATGTTAAAAGCAAAAGATATTTAATAGTGATTTAGTTACAAATAGTGATTATTAATCTACGAAAGATGATAAATGCAAGAAAGTTGACAAAGAAAAGAGAGAGTAAACACTCTAACTGAGAGAGAAATATGCGAATTTCTATATGAAAATTATTAAAGAAGCTTCGTTATATGACGGCAGAGAAAAGACTATTAAAAATGTCTTAAAAAGTGACGGATTAAGATGTAGAAAATGAAAAAAAAACACCGCCAAAGTAACAAGGAATATCTCAAAAAGAAAAAGCTCTTTGCCTCAAATATCGCAACTTTCAATTAAGGAATAAGGTGATATTTATAGACAGAAAGAAAAAGGAAAAATAGCTCCAGTTGGCTTGCCTGGATGGTCGGGTTTACTGCCAATAAAAACTTTCGACATAAAAAAGTGATCATTTTCTAAGAGACACTTGGAATATGGTTGTATAATTTCTGCTTCCTTTAAAGAAGAGACATGTCTAGCATCAGTAAAACCATAGACGAGAGTCTAGAATAGACCATCTAGATGTTTTATCCAATTTTCTTGCGCCACTAGGTCATGCCCTTTGCGGAGATTATGTTCTTGTATAAGATGGGCTACAGATTCACAGAACTACCCTGACAAGAGTGGTATCTAAAACACTGGCCAGCAAATTCTGTGAGCTTCAATATCATTGAGAGAATGACATTCAGGCTTGTTTACCAATACGGAAGGCGTTTTAAAAGCATGGAAGATTTACCAGCTACAATCTTTGAAGTATGGATAGAAATGTTTGGTTATATTTTTTAATTAAGGAAATAGTGTGAAATGAATTATAGAAAAGGATAAGAATCACAAAAATTTCTTCTTCTCTTATAATTAGACGGCTGTTGTATGACAATGTTTTCTATGCTGTATAAGAATGAATATACACAGTGTACAGTTTATAGATTCTGTACATGTTGTGTATAAAATTATTAGAGAAGTGTACATTTGAAGACACAATACAGTTAAAAAGTAGGCAAAAGAAGGGTGTAGGAATAAATGATTGAAATGAAAGGATAAAGGGAAAATGCTATATTTTTTTCTTGTTAGGATAAAAGTAACGGGGGAAAAAAATAATTTAGCTTTGGGCTACAATTTATAAATTTTCTCTTAAACACGTTGACTGCCAACAATAGAAACCTTTCCACTTTTACTCATTCTCTCACCCTTTACCTTTATTGCCTATTTTATCCCTTCCCCTAGTATATGTTGTCCATTATTGCTTACTACAGCAAATATCACCCTAGTAGATAGTAAATAAATCGATGTTTGATATTTAAAATAATTAATAGGCCTATTAGATAAACTTCAGATAGGCTGTTACGCTTTATTCCGTACTAATTAGAACTAGGGAAATATAATACGTTATTTATATAACATTTACGTTATTTTTAATATAGCAGTATGTTTTCTAATTGTACAGTCGTTGCTTTAAAAATAGTTTGGTTTTCTATTAGTTTTTTACTTGCAAACTAATTAATTAATTTATTAAGTAAAGATTATAAAGAAAGAAGGATTAATAGTTGCTAAGACAAACAGCATAGAATACTGATGTAATATATAGTATTCTCTCTCTCTCTATAGGACAATTTGTATATTGTATAATCAAATATAATCAAAATTCTGTATTAGAACATTTAAACCTTTTAAGTCTAAATTAAACCCAACGTATAATTTTTAATACAAAAGCTTTACGAGATTTCAAAAACAGATGTTTATTAGACGCCTAGACGCTCATAGAAATAAAATGCAGAATATATTGTTGACAAAACCGTTTTCGACTATTTATTCCATATAATAATAATGAAAAATTATAGACAATTTGTTCTCTCGTTCGATAAAATATTCATTAAAAATCTCTTTCTTTTCTTTATCTCCCTCTCTCTCTCTCTCCTACTCTCTCTCCCGCTCTTCTCTCTTGCGTAATTTCTTAAATCAATTTCTCTCATTTTAATGAATATTAATAGAATGCAAACTAGCTTATTATTAGTTGTTTGGTAACCGTATTGATAAAACTACTATAGTTAAACGGTCGAAAGATAGCTCTTTCCACCTCCGGGTAACAGATGGATAAACACGGAATTTTTATTTATAATATTAGAAAATATGAATATTAATAATCTAATAAATGCGGCTGAATAGGCTATTTAATTCTACTCTATTAATGACAATACAAAATCAAATATAGACAATATACCGTGTGTGTATTGCGCATAATTTGCATAAATTAAATCATAGGTTAACCAACTTCCTATGTATTTTATATACTTGATTTTTTTTTCTGGTTAGACCTCTAATAGTAATAATATATTGAAATAAACTAGATAGTAGCGTCTGATTCGTCCAATAGCGTCTATTAGATTGTTTTCTTTAATACAGAGGTCGCTATTAACACGCCTTTCCAAAACTAAGTCAAAAATGCAACAACAAGCAACATCTTTAATTCTTAGCCGCTATTGTATACCTATTACAGGAATATTTGGTGTTATCGGTAATGGACTAAATATATTTCTTATCTTTAAGAATTTCTGGAATACGAAATATAATTTTGCGGATAGCGGCATCAGTAAAGCAATGTTGGCTTTGGCAGTCAGTAATACTATGTTTTGCTTTGGAACATTACCCGATCTTTTTCAATCAGATTCAATATACTTTCATTCAAAAAACTTCTCCTACTATTGGTTATCTGTTCAAACATTTTATAACGACATCTGGATTAAGGTATGTAAAGCCTAATTATCTTATTGAATAGCAATAAGCTTACTAATATTTTTAGACTAGATTAAAAGTGATTTTCTATAAAGATTAAAAAAAGTTTTATTTAGTTCAATGAAATCTTAATATTATACAATATTACAGTTCAAGTGTTTTTTTTTTTTAAAAAAACAAAAATTAGTAGACAAAGAAGAAGAAAATTTATTTAATAATTTACAGGACAGCTTAAATAAAAGATTATTTGTTTTTTTAAAAAACAAAATACAACTAGACAACAAAAATAAAATTACTATAATATAAATGTTTGTATAATCCTGTTTCCGCTCTTAAAAGTGCTTGTTAAAAAGGATTTCAATCAAATTATAAACAAGGTATTATCATGCGCTCTACGTGACTTTCTTAATAATTTTATTCCCATTAAATATTGCTTGGAGGGTAGTAGTAGAGGGGACGTATAATTCCTCTATCTTAATCTTTTTGATTTCTCAATTTTCAATTTGTTTGTCTATTCTCTCTCTCTCTCTTTGTGTACTTGTTTAACTGGGTTATTGATTATTTATATTAACGTATATATATTGATAGTTTTACATATTTTTCATCTCGCCCCTTCTCTATCCCTCCTTCTCTCTCTCTCTCTCTCTCTCTCTCTCTCTCTCTATTGATTTACACATACATATACTAATATTCAAAATCTATCCCTCTATTTAAAGACAGTTATCACTACTCCGTCTCATTACTTGCTTTTATCTTCTCCAAAACAACCACTAAACAACAAGTGTTTTTATTAGCAAAAAATGAGACTTAATAGAATTCTGACTAAGAAAAGGCCAAAGAGAATAATTAATACACATTTTTTTTGGTTCATTCACTCGACTTGGTTTTTGTTAAGGCTTCATTTATTTACCAAGTTTATCCCTTTTCTCTATCATGATAATTCATTTCTTTGTAAAGACTTTGATTTTAGCCTTTTTAACTTTCTATTCATAAACTATTTATAGACAGTTAAAATTATTATATGAAAACATCTCTTCCTCAAAGAGGAAAAATGAAAAGTAGATCAGAATCATTGGATCTTTCAGAAATTATCTTCCATTAACCTCTTTATTATGTATTTGGGCAGACAGACGATATATAACATTTATAGAAGGAAAAAAAGTGTAGCTTTTTTTCAAGATCTGGCATAAAAACTCTGTAGAAAAGGAAATTACTAGTCTTTCGTATCACTCCAAGACAAATTTGTCAACAATGTATTAGTACAGAATGAATCTAGCAGAAGTAGAAGAAGATACGAATAATTTTCCGTTGCAAACATGCTAGTTTTTTTCCTTTCGATTTCTCAAAAAAGTTTAATAAAGATTGAATTTTCCTTGTTTTCCCGAGGGAAAGAGAGAGAGAGACAAACAGGCAAACAGGTGTATTTTACTAATGTAATATTGTAACAAATATAAAAAGGAATATCTGTTTCGGTCAATAAAAGTCTCCAAGTACTTTTTATGAACGGTGTCTTCTTCCTTAATACAAGATAACAATAACGGATAGGCCAAATCCATTAATTTCTTAGCAGTTACTAAATGTATCTTGAATAATCCCCGTGTATTTATTATACTGTACTAAGCGTAGATATTGATAAATGCATCGGTATATATATATATATAACACAGTATAAACAGTTATACAACAGTACATACAGTATGTACAGTATATATATATATAGAGAGAGAGAGAAACGTGCAGATATTTTAAGAAAACTTTATAGAGACTTTCTAGACATATAGAAAATGAAGATAATCCTCCAAGATC